TCGATGGCGCCCGACGCCCGATGCCCCGACGCATGGGACCGCGACTCCAACTCGCCCGCTCCCTCGGCTCGGTGCGCTCGATGCCTGGGACCGCGACTCTGACTCACCCGATCCCTCGGCGGCTGCGCCGGACGCCCGGCACCCAATGTATGGGACCGTGACTCTAACTCACCCGCTCCCTTGGCGATGCCCGATGCCGGGGACCACGACTCTGACTCGCCCGCCCGACGCATGGGACCGCGACTGCGACTCGCCCGCTCCCTCGGCTCGGTGCGCCCGGCGCCTGGGACCGCGACTCCAACTCACCCGCTCCCTCAGCGGCTACGCCCGATGCCCAGCGCCCGATGTGCAGGGATCTGCGACTCGACTTCGCTTCGCTCCTCGGCGGTGCCGGCGCATTGACCGTGACTCGACTTCGTCCATCGCCTTGGCAGCGCCCGACGCTCGGTGCCCCGACGCATGGGACCCCGACTCCGACTCGCCCGCTCCCTCGGCAGCGCCTAACGCATGGGACCGCGACTCCGACTTGCCCGCATGGGACCGTGACTCTGACTCCCCCTCACCCTTGGCGGCGCTCGATGCCCGTCGCCCCAACGCGTGGGACCATGACTCCGACTGGACCGCTCCCTCGGCGACGCCCGGGACTGTGACTCCGACTCACTTGCTCCCTTGGCTTGGCGCACCCGACGCCTGGGACCGTGACTCTGACTCACCCACTCCCTCGGTGGCTGCGCCCAATGCCCGGTGCCCCGATGCATGGGACTACAACTCTGACTCGCCCGCTCCCTCGGCGGCGCCCGATGCCCGGGACCACAACTCTGACTCGCCCGCCCGACGCCCGACGCTCAACGCATGGGACCGTGACTCTGACTCGCCCGTTCCCTCGGCTCGGCACGCCGGACACATGGGACCATGACTCTGACTCGCCCAATCCCTCGGCGTGCCCCTCGGCTCGCATCCGACGGCTGCGCCCGACGCCTGTCCGCTTTGGTTAACGACTCCAAGGAGGCTACGCCCACCAAGGTGCACTCGCACACGCCAGCTGACAAAACCCGCCAGGCGATTCTACCTAAATCGCCCAGGGGCTCGGGGGCTACACCCACCAGGTGTGCTCGCGCACCCACTGTCAAAACAAAAAATTCCCCTACCAACAAAACGAAACCCCCCTAGACGGTTCTACCCGAATCACCTGGGGGCTCGGGGGCTACACCCGAGGGTGCGCTCGCGCGCACCCGCCATCAAGACAAAAAATCTCCCAGACGATTCTACCCGAATCGCCCGGGGGCTCGGGGCCTCCTGTCGGGTTCATAAACCTAGCGTCCCTGATGGGCCTACTTCCCAGCAAAAGCTTGGCCCAGCAGACGACGTTGCGCACGACGCGCAACTCCTGGGCCGGCCTAGAATCCTCCGACAGGCCGAAAGAAGCAACCTAGTCTCCGACCGAAAGGCCTGGCCGAGGAAGAGACGACACTCGTTTCTGACTCCGACCCGCCTCTCTGACTCTAACCCGCCTCTCTGGCTCCGACCCACCTCTCCGACCGAAGAGACGACGAACCTCTGCTTATGGCTTATGACTCCGTCCCGCCGCAGTCGGAGCCAACTGGGAACAAACCGACCAGGGACGCCCGCTCGGTGAGGACCCAAGAAGTCAGGCGGAGCTGATAAAGCATGATGCTCAAGTCAAACCTGAATACTAGGGACCGTACCCTGCACACCTGTAGGACAGTACTGTCAGAATATGTTAGAAGGGTGCTCTACAACCTTCCAGGCATGTCAGGTCCCAAGCAGTATTGTGGGCGCCGACGTTTCCCCTACAGTGTTGTGGGCACCGTCATTTGACATACCTGGTGAACATGGTAAAACCTCTCACATGTGTCTGACATAAACAGTATTATGGGCGTCTACAATCATCTTGTACCCGACGGTGTGGGCAACAAGACTTAGTAGCATACGTACACACTGTCTCTCTCACTTGTAAGACCGTTCCCTTCATCTATAAAAGGGGATGCACACTCTCCCAACAAGGGGCGATGATTCAACACACGACGACAGAACCACCAGGCTCACACTTTGAGCACACAAGTTGAGTAGCAACCAAGCTCTCAGCGTCCTTTCGACCTTTCTATCAGAGACTTGGGACCTGTCCCTCTCTCGCCTATTTGTAACCCCACAGCAAACTTCGAGCACCTGGGCTCAGGAATATAATCACCGTCCGACTCAAACTGGACATAGGGCACGTTGCTTGAACCAGTATAAATCCTATGTCATTGAGTGCTAGGCCACATCCGATCAAAACGTACGGCAAAACGATAAATATTTACTAGTTGATCACTTTTCGCACAGACAAGTGCACTGATGACCGTTGAGATCGGACGATCAGCATTTGAAGTAGGGGCCACGTGGCGTGCATCACGTGACCGAATGCTGGGGTCCTACGTCCGATCGATCTGACCGACGCGTTCGGTCGCCCTGATTTTTTAGTGAACAGAGAACCAATGGCTCTATTCATGGGGACTCTGTATTTAAACCCCATGGCCGGCTCAAGCTCACTCTCTTGGCCTTTTGCATTGACATAGCAACCTTGTGAGCTTTGCCAAAGCCCTCTCACTTATCTCCATCATTGATTCATCATTTTTATGAGATTAGGAGTGAATCCAAGTGCATTGCTTGAGTGTTTGCATCCAGAGGTACTTGGTGTTCGTGTTAGACTGCGAGATTCGCTTGTTACTCTTGGTGGTTATCGCCACGTAGTTAATCGAATTTATAAAAGGTTTCATTGATATCTGATGCTACTTCCATCTGCTGCTGGCTTCTTCTATGGAAGTGGCCAGCTTAGAATTTTATTTTTTGAGATACTAGAATCCGGACATATGGACGCACGTCCATGCATGACCGCCATCCTCGTTTCACGTGTGTCCGAGCATACGCACGAAACGCCACATCTCCATCCCTAGTATAAAGTTGTAGATCCCATCAAGAGTTACAACTTTCATATAAAAAGTATTTCTATTTGACACCATATAAGAAAAATATAATTTTTCTAAGGTGACAAGCACTTGTATACGATTAATATACTGCTGAATTTTTTGTTAAATTTTTTTAGCATTTTAATGACCTCAAATTAAAAAATTTAAAACAAAAAAGTTGAAGATCCCGTCGAGGACTACAATTTTCATATAGATAGTATCTCATTTAACCCAATATATAAGAGATACGATTTTTTACAAGGCGATAAGCACTTGTACGCGATTAATATATTGTTGAAACGTTGTTTAATTTTTTTGAGCATCTTAATGATCTCAAATTAAAAAAACTCAAAACTAGAAAGTTATATATCTCGTCGAGTGCTAGAACTTTCATATATAAAGTATCTTCATTTGACACCACATAAGAGAGATACGATTTTTCCAAAGCGACAAGCACTTGTATGGGATTAATATACTGCTGAAACATTGTTTAATTTTTTTGAGCATCTTAATGACCTTAAATTTAAAACTCAAACCTAAAAAGTTGTAAATCTCATCGAGTGCTATAATTTTCATATATAAAGTATCTTCATTTGACACCGTATAAGAGAGATACGATTTTTCCAAAGTGACAAGCACTTGTACGCGATTAATATACTGCTAAAACTTTGTTTAACTTTTTTGAGCATCATAATGACATTAAATTTAAAAACTCAAAACTAGAAAGTTATAGATCTCATCGAGTGCTACAACTTTCATATATAAAGTATCTTTATTTGACACCATATAAGAGAGATACGATTTTTCCAAGGCGACAAGCACTTGTACGTGATTAATATACTGATAAAATTTTGTTTAATTTTTTTGATCATTTTAGTTTCCTCAAATTAAAAAAACTCAAAACTAGAAAGTTGTAGATCTCGTCCAAGGCTACAACTTTTATATATAATGTATCTTCATTTGATACCATATAAGAAAGATACGATTTTTCCAAAGCGACAAGCACTTGTTCACGATTAATATACTGCTGAAATTTTATTTTATTTTTTTGAGCATCTTAATGACCTCAAATTACAAAACACAATGCTAGAAAGTTATAGATCTCATCGAGAGCTACAATTTTATATAAAATCATCTTCATCCAAGATCGTATGAAATAGATACAATTTTTTTAATGTTGCACCTTGCCGCGTCAGTGTGGTTGGCATGGCACTACAGTGCTGCTGCGCTAACGGAAATAGCGTGGCAAGGATTTCCACGTGAAAATCGTTGTCCGACGTGGCAGATCGTGCCGCGCCGATGCATGTGGCGCGGCAGCGTGTTTTGGCCGCGCCACGGTCTTAGGCGTGGCCAAACGGATTAGATTTGAAAATAAAAAAGCAACGCTGTTAGATTTGGAATTTGCTTTAGAAAAAAGGTTAAAAAAAAATTCGAGCTAGTTTTGGCCCATCACCAGATACCTAGTTCATCTTGTTTCATGCCCTCTACCGTTACTCCCTCTCCTGTATCTGTTCACTTGATCTGCACCGTCGGCCGCTGATATTGCCCGTTTTGGGGATCTTTACCCATGCCTATATATAACAGTACCTCGGGGCTATATAAGGTTTGCACACCATGAACCCGTAGCAACGTCGCCAGGCTTAGCTATGTGAGACATGCTGCGCGCGGGTTCAAAATATAGTCAATAAAAATGGAAGTCCCGCCAAGGTAACTCAATAGAACATCCATTAGATACTACGGAGTACAGCATGAATAAAAACTTAGTTAATTCATAGACCTTATGTTTTTAGAATTAGTAACAGGTGCACGAGTTGAAGGGCTAGTCAAATCAAATGAATAAACATGCCTAGGATTAACATTTATATCATATATACGAGTTCCAGGATAAGCAAGAAGCTTCACTATGATTAGTGCATCTGCAATTACATGCGAGTCTCGCACACCATGGACAAATTAAAACCTAACCAGATATACACGGCTAAAAGCTATACACGTACCTAGATTGATTTAATCTGATACAACTTGTAACAAAATTCACTTGTTTCTTCCAACCCATCTCGAGTACCTCAAAGAGTAAGACACATGTGTCCGACGATCGACTTCTGAATTTGTAATATCAGAATCATGACTGTGTTCCTTCAACTTATCTGCAAACTCTGTTGGCATGCCAAAAACTTCCGAGTTCAGACGATGGTTGAGGTTCTTCATGCCTACAGGTGCCTCAGTCAGCTCGGTGCAGTGGTCAAGTTCCAGGTCACGTAGCTTTAGTAGGCAACCTTGCTGAAACTCTATACGACTAAGGTTAGCCAAGTCCTGCAAGGTGAGTCTTTTCAGTGCAGGAAAACTACCTCCCACAAAGGTCATGACCTTGTCATGGTATGTGTCGATAAGGCTAAGATTTACAAGCCCTGGAAGCGCTGCGAGGAGAAAGAATGAATCTTGCGCAATAGCGCAACGGCACAGCCGTAGTTGCACGAGGCTAGTCAAAGAGCATGTCCATGATGGCAGCCTCCCTCTTGCTAACCTGCCAGTCAATGCGAGTTTTTGTAGCTTAAGTGGTGGTGGAGTAATTGAGTCCAAGTCAAGTACTGCATCTTCTGTCGCTGTCGGCTCGGTTTCCAAACCCAAGCGCACAAGACAGCTCATTCTGGAGATTGACGATGACAATTCAGAAGTAAGGCTCGCATCTACTCCAGATAGCTCTAGGCTCCTTATCTGTTCCAGTCTTGCTAAGGAACCAACCATCTTCTTGTCAGCTACAACATACTTGAGTGTCTGCAGGCTGGTCAGGTTTTCTAGCCCTTTAGGAGCTCCAACTGCTTTGCCGGGAAACGGGGGCCCAAATAAGTCAGCAGTTGGACGCCTCAAAAGTATCAGGTGGCGCATGCTCTTTAGTTTGGCTGTGCTGTCTGGTAACCTTTGCACCATGGATAACTTGGCGTCCAATGTTTGCAGCTTCTGCAAGTTTCCTAGATTCTCCGGTAGCTCTTGGATGAGAGTCGAGCGGATACCGAGATACCGTAGATTTTACAGACTCATCACCGTGTTGGGCAACTTGTTCATCTCAACGAACCAGAGGTTGAGAACAGTTATCAGCCTAAATCGGGATAGGAACAGAGCACCGAATTCTGACCCAAATGCGTGGAAGGAGCGAAGAGAAGCCTGCACCTGCCTTGGAAGCGATTCGCAATCCAGTTCGCATCGGTCAACTGAAAGATGACGGATTCTGACGCTGCAGTCCATTGTTATCTTGCGCTTGGTAAACTGAAAGAAGCCTTCTCCTCTTGACCTTTGGATAATCAGATCCCTGATGAGGTCGTGAATAAGGCACCGTTTGGCACGGCCAAATTCGTTGGTTTCAGTAACTTGGATGAGGCTGCGGTGTACTAGCTGGTCCAAATAATCATCTGCGACATCCTCCACTGTACGTGTGGCTGCAGAGCCATGTTGTTCCTCTTGGATGAAGCCCTGCGCGACCCAGTCCCTTATCAGTATCTTCCTCTTGATCAAGAAGTCCTCGGTGTATATGCTGCAGCTCAGGAAGCATCTCTTGAGGTGGTGCGGCAGGTCATCGATGCTGAGGTTAAGTATGCTTGCGGCCTCCCCTATCCCAAGGTCGCTGCTGCTCTTGTCCCACACGAGGCTGTCGTGGACGTTCTTCCAGGCGAACACTGTCCTCTCTTTCAGCGCGAGGAGATTGGCGATGGACACGATCGCCAGCGGCAAGCCACCGCATCGATCTAGCAAGCTGCTAGCGAGCTCCTTCAGGTGGCTCGGGCACGTCCTTCTGCCGTCGGTGTCGGACGCCGCCTCCTCCCTCTCCCTGGACCAGGACCTAAAGGCGACGTTGCAGAAGAGCGTCCACGCCTCGTGCCACGGCAGTGGCTGCAGCGTCATGATCCTCTCGGGCACCGCGGCCATAGCCACGTCTCTGCTGCGGGTGGTGATGACCACGCGGCTACCGGTCGCGTCGTCGAGGAACGCATGACGGAGGAGCGTGTCCCACAGGTGCGCGTCCCAGACGTCGTTGAGCACGATCAGATACCTCCTCTTCCCAAGATGCCTCCTTACAGCCGCCACGAGCGACCGGTAGTCATCATCATCGCGGTCGCACTGCAGGTGCAGCTCTTTGAGGATCTTCCAGAGGACGTCGTCCCGCGTGACGCCTCCAGAGACGGCCACCCACGCGGCGCAATCGAAGTGGCTCGTCGCCGCCGCCTCCCTGTACACGCGGGTGACGAGGGTGGTCTTGCCGACGCCGCCCATCCCACAGACGGCGACCAGCGTCCGACGTGGCTCCGCGTCCTCGACCACCCACTCCAGGAGTTGCTTCTCGTGCGCAGCGAAACCGACTATCTCCTCTTTCTCCAAGAAGTGAGCACTCACCGCCAACGCCGCTGCCGTCCCGCTAACGATGGCGGGGTCGACGGCGTCGGCGGGGTGGATGCCGTACTGCCCCTTGATTGCCGACAGGTGGGAGAGCCTCTCCCGAGCCTTGCGCAACCGCCTCGACACAGCGAGCCAGGCCTTGATGTTGATCAAGTCCTTGGCGAAGCGGCGGTGGACGGAGAGGAAGGAGCACTCGTCAGCCACGTCCTCTAACTCGAAGGCGGCATCGCGGACCTGCCTTACCCACTCAGCCACGAGTTCGTCCTCCGTGCCGGTGCTGCCGCGGCGGGAGTCTGCGAAACGAAGGAAGGTGCGGAGGAGGTCGAGGTCCCCTTTAGCAGCGGCAATGTCGGAGCGGACGCCGATGAGGCGTGAGATGCCAAGGGCGGCGCTGCGCGACAGTGCCACGGCGAGTTTACCAGAGAGTGATATGGCAATGGCCTCCGCCATGTCGCTGGACGCTGGTGACTGGTGAGTGAATGTGAGGGAGGGAGATGGCTAGATGGGGAATACTTCTCAGCCTCACGGCTCTGCCACCGCCCACAGGATGAGCTGCACACATCCAAGTCGCAGTCTAACTCTGATATTTTTTTTCTACTCTAGTGACTAGTGAGCCATACATAGCACCTGATTGGCACACCTGAGCAGCTCTGGTCCAAACGTGAGTTCGACACTGGAGCTGCACACATCCATGTCGCAGTCAAACTCTGCAGGGCCACCGGGGTGAGATTTTTTTTTTCTAGTCTAGAGAACCATAGTGCCTGATTGGCACACCCGAGCAGCTCTGGCTCCGAAATTCAACTCCAAGGACGCGCTCGATGCAGTAAGCAATGACGCTTTCAAATATTCATAATTTTGGTCTAAACTATATGGAAAACGACTCATCTAATTAAATGCTCTCAACATATCACACATATCTCTAGAGTGACATACCTAGCTCTAAGAAATTAGGCACTTTGAGGCAGAGCATTGCCGACTCGATCTTAGCATGCGTTGTTTGAGAGCTTTGGAAAGAGCGTAATGCAAGGTGCTTTCGTGGAGCAGTCACCCAACTGCCAAACCTGGTTGCCATGATCAAGTGGGAAGCCGAGCTTTGGAAGAAGCGAGTAGTACCCTAGGTAGCATTGTTGTTCGTCGAGGGCCAATGCCCTGATGTAAAATCTCCGCCCGAGCGCCTCAAGAGAGTGATGTAACAAACTTTTCTCTCTAAATACAAAAACGCGTAAATCTTTTACGTGATCGAGAAAAAGACAAAACATTGCCAAACATAAAAATAATCGCTCACCTATGCAACAGTGAGCAACGTATGACGATTTTACTGATAGCTGTATAACGAAAAAACCATTTGGAACATTGGAAGAAGCAAGACAATATCAGTGTCGTCAAGAATCAGCTCCTATATGGAATTAAAAAAAAAACTACACAAGTGGCTCCTGTAGTCACAGACTCTCACAGCCTTGTTCTATTTCCCTTCACTTTTTTTATAAGGCCATGTCTGGCTGGTTTTATTGAGGGACTTTTCTAGTTTTTCTGGCTTCTCGGTTGAGATTTTTTTTATTTTAACACTTTTTTAAACTAATTTCAAATCTAACATTATTTTTTTTCTTCCAAAACTAACACTTTTGGCCGCGCCTATTGCCATGGCGTGGCGAAACGTCTGTGCCGCGCCATACATGGTGGCGTGGCAGGAGGATGACGTGGCGACGACCGGGGCTGCTGACCGGTGACGTGACAGGGTCTGCCGCGCCACCGATCTTGGCGCGGCACTGACGCGCCATAGCCCACGGCGCGGCAGGCCTAGGTAAATATCGCCCACGAGCCACCCTCCCTCTGTCTTCCTGCCCGCCGCCGCGCACGCCCGCCTGCCCGCACGCACGCCGCGCCCCGACGGCCGCCCGCCCGCGCCCGCCCACTCCCGCCGCGTAGCGCCCGCGCCGGCCGCACCATGAACGCCGGCGCGTCACGACCGTCGGCCGCCCGCTCATATCAAGGTAGCTCCCTCTCTCGATTTCATGCTATTATGATTGTTATTTTAGTCAGGGTTAGTGATTTAGGATAGTTAGGTTAGTGAATTTGTTTATTTAGGTAGGTAGTTTTTAAGGTTTAGGTTGTGTGTTGTAGTATAGTTAAGGTTTGGTTAGATAGTTAGGGTTTAGGTTACTGTTAGTTAGGATTTTGGGTTTAGGGATTGATTAGGTATTTATTATTTAGTTAGTTTATAGTAGTAAAGGTTGTCAGTATAGATACTAGTTTTCAAGTGTCGGTTCTTAGTAGTGCGTGATACATCCATTTGGATGACTTGATGAAGTTTCTCAAATGCTTGTTTTCCTAGTGAAGTTGTTTAATATGTCTGTTAATGTTACTTTGAATATATACATGTGCTTTCATATTGCGTTCGTATTGCATAACAAATAGTTCAAATTTTGCAATGCTACATAATGTTAATTTGAATATTGTTAATTTGAATACTCTATCAATTTGTAACAGGATGGCCCCTCCCACGCAGCACCCGTTGTATCCCCTTCTTGAGGTGGAGTACGATGACCAGCACCAAGCACACATCTTGAGTGACATCGACGCAGAGGTGACCTTGCCTCCTTTGAGGCCCCGCACGCACACCATGGCGCACTAGTGGGACGAGCGTTACACGCCGTACATACGGCGTGCCGGCTTCCTTAAGCTTGTCCGTGTTGTCAACTACGGTCTTTCGCCCCTTGACCCAGCACTACTTAGTGCAGCTGTAGACAGGTACGAGTGCCTTCTTTGTACGTAAACATTCTTATAACAAATTTGAGGCAACTAACAGTCGTTCTATTCTTATAACAGGTGGAGGCCTGAGACCCACACGTTCCACCTACCTTGCGGCGAGATGACCTTAACCATGCAGGACGTGAATGTTATCTTTGGCCTTTGGTTGGGGGGACTTCCAGTGACAGGTATAGTTGACAACGATCACTGGAGGGAGCTGGTGGCTCAGTTCACTAGCTTTCTTCCATCGGACGACGAGGTTTCCAAGAAAAATAAGTTAGCAATTCAAGACTATTTGATACTTGCATTGCTTTCCTGCAGCTGTTGGGTCTCATTTTCTTTGGTGAATTTCAGAAAAAGTTCCGGTGTTTCGTCGTCCTGGATCACAGAGCGCTTTGATTACTTGGATCCACATGCTGATGAGGCTCAGATCGACAGGTTCGCTAGAGTGTGGCTCTAACACTTCCTTGGTGCTTTCCTCTTCCTAAACGCCTCGGGCAACAGCATCAGCTGGATCTTCCTTGACATACTACGCCAGCAGTGGGAAAACATAGCGGCGTACAGCTGGGGCAGCGCAGTCCTGACATGGACGTATCGACAGCTATGCGTTGCCTGCCATCGCACCTCAGGGTATGCGAACCTTGGGGGTTGCTCCTACCTACTCCAGGTTTGGTGTTGGGAACGATGGCCCGTCGGGAGGCCCCTTGCTACTGGTTTACCGGTAAGTACTTTGATTCACTATATTCTTCGAGGCAGTTACATATGATTAAATTATTAATGGCTAATTCATTATCGTGTTCAATGCAGCATTGGAACGGGCAGGATACACTCCCTACAGCTCTATATATCTAGATGGAAGCAGAGTTAGTTAGAGGGAATGCGAGGCGCAAGTACAGGGAGTACACGGACGGTCTCGACGTCCTGACACAGCACCATGTTACGCTCTCTTTACTATCATACGTGTGTCTTGTTCGATGTAGACTATATCACAACCTAACTCAATTACGAAATGTTTAGGTGCATTGGTGTCCTTGGGATGCTCCGGAGCTCGAGTACTATCTGAGTCCTGTCACTAGGGATGAGTCAGACGAGTATCGCTGCAACATCCCTCTTATTTTCTTCCACGTGGTCGAGATTCACTTGCCCATCAGGGTTTGCAGGCAGTTTGGAAGAATGACAGGCTACCCACCACCGCTTTACTCCACCAACCAAGAATTGCACGGGTGCGTTATCGATTAACAACAAAGCTACAATTCATATGTGTGTGTGGTACAACTAACAATCATTTTGTTGCAGGTATAACCGCAGGAAGAGGTACAAGACCAAGGATTAGCGCGTGACACACAACACGTACATCCAGTTGTGGCAGAACAGGGATCGGCAGCCGGTCCATGCGGGTCCCCCACACGACCAGCACACCTTCGACGACTATATGCGGTGGCTTCACAAGTCTACGAGGACACATATCAAGCCCCCGTACACTGAGGAGGCGATTGACGATGACTCAGAGGAAGATGTGATTGAAGATGTGTACGACGTTGCCACTAGGGCCGACACACAACTACAGAGAGCCCCGCTTCAAAGATACGTGGTAAGATATTCGAATGGTACAATTTGTTATCCATTTGGTATTAAGTATGTTTACTAAAACTGTCCAACCGCATTTCTGTACCCAGGCGACACAATTGTCAAGGATGTCCAACGAAGCAGCGTTTCGGCTTTACGAGTCTAGAGGGCAAGGGCCAGGCGTTCTCGAGGCTTTTGTGGAGGTAAACATAAACTTGTCCGTTCCAAAAATGTTTCTTTAGCATATATGCATTTGGGAAATGCACTAACTTTAACGTCTATTTATGCAGAAGGTGAAGCGGAGCTACAGGAGGCTAGCTCAGAAGTTGAGCTGCATGGACACTCCTTGGGTGGAACCGGCAGTCCCGGCACGATCGAATGGCACGTCTTCTGGCTCTTTGAGGACACCAACCGTCTCTTCTCAGCCAGTGACAGGTGCCACTTCCATAGTGCGTACACCACCACATCATAGCATTGGGAAGGACCCTGCAAACGAGGACGACATTGACGACGATGACGATGACCCCCGGGCTTCCGCAGACAGCACCACCAGTAGAACGATTGGCTGCAGGACGAGATCATCATGTCCCAGCTAGGTGGTGGCCCGCTTGGTACCCAAGGAGCCTCACAGGTAGTAACAAAGGTAGTTTCTTTAAATACGTAGGCTCCATGAACTAATGATCATAAAGATTATAAGTAATCGTGCATATCATATACTTGCAGGGTACAAGCCGTACGCACCGGCAATGTGACCCACTGACGTTGGCTATACTCCCAATGTGTTGCCAACAAATCCAAAGAGATAGAGGCGTCCGAGTGATCCTTACACTCCTAGGTCTTAGTTTGTTAGGTCGAACGAATATTGTCGTCCGAAACTTGCAGGCTTGGTTGGTTATTGTCGGTGTTTCGAATAAACACCAACTAGTATATTTATATTTGTTGCGTGTTAGGCCCGGATGGTGTGCTAAAGGACACAAGATTTATATGGGTTCGGACAGAATGTCCCTACATCCAGTCTGCTGCTGCTCGTGTTATTAGCACCGAAAAAAGGTTCGTAGTAGGGGATACAAACGATCGAGAGAGGGACAGGTCCCAAGTCTTTGATGGAAGGGTTGAAACGATGCCAAGAGCTCGGT